TCTGGAGGTGTTGGTAGGGTTGGTTCCTGGAGGCGGGGGGTGCTCCGAGGGAGAATCTGTTAGGAGCACATCTCCTAGTTCCTGGCCGTCTGTGATGTTCCTTGGTAGATGCATCACTGCAGTTTCTGCCTCTGCCATCACATGGCTTCTCCCCTGTGTCTCCACCTGCCCTTCACTGGATTCGTGCCCACTCTAATTTAGTGTGACCTCATCTTAACTAATTGCATCTGCAAAGACCTTATCTCCAAACAGTTCTAGTTGGACATGAATGTTGGAGGGACACAACTCAACCCACACATGCTTCCAGCCTCAGCTTTTTTTTTTATTATTAAGTCATAACTGTGTACATTAATGCATTTATGGGGTACAGTGTGCTGGTTTATATACAATTTGAAATACTTACAACACACTGGTTAACATAGCCTTCACCACACTTTCTTAATTTTTGTGTTGAGACATTTGTACTCTGCACTTAGTAGATTTGACTTGTACCCTTGTAAGCTGCACCACTGGTCAGCTCTTTGTATTTTCTCACTTGCCAACTTGCTCATTCACTTTGGTGCTCTGGAGAGGTGAGAATTTGCTAGATGGACAAGAAAAGGATTCTAGGCAGAGGAAAGAGGATACCTGAAAGGCCATGGAGGACATGAAATTTGAGCTGAGTTTTAACATAAGACTTTATTTTGAGTGCTCCACTTCTATCAAATAGATCAGTTGTTATTTCTTGTATGAGGTTTCGGTGACTCTCCCAGAGACTTTTCTGTTTCCTCAGTACTTAGTACTAATGTAGGATGGCCATAAAGTTCGTGTGCAATTTTAAGTTGCACACTATTTTAAATTGCACACGAACTTTATGGCCACCCTGCGTATTTTGTGGCTGTCACTTCTCTGTTTTGATTGTTTAATGATTGGCTTGTTCTCTTCTGGCCTGTGTGGTCTTGAGGCAGATTCTGCACCTAGTCTGTGGGGGCCCAAGTGTCTAGTCCACTCTCTGCCTGACACATAGCAGGTGCCTAGGAGAGATTTTCTGATCTGTATTTCATCTCACAAGATGAGGTCACATGCATTTTAGTAGAGGAGTTGTTCAGTCCTAACTAGATGGTTCTCGGCTCTAGATGAGGTGGAAGGGGTTTGACGTGCAGGGAAGTTGTGGGAGGTCACACCTTCCAGGTTCCTTCCATCTAGAGGTCCTGTGTCCTAATGGCAGCCTTTTTCAGAAACAGCACACGTTTTTAAAGCAGATAGACTGAATATTGTGGTTGGAACAACTGCCTGGTTCGACATTGCTCTCAAGAGTTTCTGCTGTTAGATGAGCTCAGTTCTAACTTGCACCATCATAGTGCAATCGTGGCTTTTGCAGACGCTCAGCACCTCAGACTAAGCGTCGTGTAGACGGAGCTTTTGAGGAAAGCTGTTGCCATCCGCGGATGCATTCTCAAAGCACGGTCACTTTTCCAGTGTTGCTTATTTGGTCAAAAGGATTTTAAAGACTATAATTTAAGGCTTTTTAGAGGTTCCTTTTTCAATTGAATTGATTTTACTACCTTATTACAGACTCACTGAAAGTTGCTTTTTTATTTTTAATGGGGGAGGGGAAAGAAGGTTTAATGTGGAGAAAACTAAAAGATAGGACATCGAACTACAATTCTGCAGAGGTGATCAAGGTGTGAGGATATTTTAGGAAAAAAGCAACCAGCCAGGGTGGTACCTAAGGCTTAGTGAATAGGGCACTGGCTCCATATACCGAGGATGGCAGGTTCGAACCCGGCCCTGGCCAGTCTGCAACAACAACAACAAAAATAGCCGGTTGTTGTGACAGGCACCTGTAGTCCCAGCTACTTGGGAGGCTGAGGCAAGAGAATCCCCTAAGCCCAGGAGTTGGAGGTTACTGTGAGTTGTGACGCCATATCACTCTACCGAGGGTGATAAAGTGAGACTCTCTCGCTTAAAAAAAAAACAAAAAACAGCAAACAGCCAATATGTGATGCTTTTTTTTGAGACAGAGTCTCACTATGATACCCTCAGTAGAGTGCTATGGCATCACAGCTCACAGCAACTTCAAATTCTTGGGCTTAAGCAATTCTCTAGCCTCAGCCTCCGGAGTAGCTGGGAGTACAGGCACCTGCCACAACACCCGGCTATTTTTGTTGTTGTTCTTGTTGTTGTAGTTGTTGCTGTTGTTTGGCAGGCCCAGGCCAGGTTTGAACCTGCCAGCCCTGGTATGTAGCTGGCACCCTGCCGCTGAGCTACAGGCATGAAGCCAATATGTAATACTTTCCAGTATTTGCATTTCTCACCACAGTGGACTGTGCAGAACCATCCATTGGCACTAATTATTGCACTGCTCGGGCATGTTAGCAAAATTGCCACAGACTATAAACAGTCACTTTTTAATTCAGGGGAACAGTTTGAAGTAAATGTCATTATTCAGGTTGCTTTGTAACAACTGTGATTTATAAAAATATTTCACAAGCCCAAGTTAGAAATTGTTTTCTCCCCATGCTTCCCAGAGAAAACTGCCTGGCTCTCCTGGTCATGGAAGCAGCACCCATCTGTGGCGTGCAGTTCACGTTTGTAGACTAGTGGGCACCCTTCAGAGTGAGTGAGGGTGGAGTAAGCGAACATTGCTCCTCCCTACAGGCAGCCAGGAATTAGGCAGCCAAAATGTCGCTAATCATAGCCTGCTGTGAGTGTCAGTGTGTGACGGGCACCGTGCAAATTGGGTCAGTCATTCTGAGAAACCCTGTCCCATGCCAGAGCACCACAGTGAGGCAGCTGTCTTGGGGAGGCCTTTGCCAAGTTCAGGGCCATTTGTGCTGCTGCTTTCCTCTGGGGCAGAGGTCCCCAGTGTGGGTCCATGATAGAATTAGGATAGGAATATACACGATGGCCTTGTTTATTATTCACTTTTAACTAAAATGTAATGTCAAAAAAGATTATATGTAGGCAGTTATCCATAGTGGCATTAGCCATACCTGTGAGTTTATCACCCCAGAAATCACAGATGTTTTGGAATATTGTTTACTTGTTACTACTTCAAAGTTATGGTAACTGTTAACCCATTTGTTTAGAGGCTATTTAATGTGTTAATAAAGAAGCATGTGTGAATTTTTTTTTTTTTTTTTGAGGCAGTCTTGCTCTGTTGCCCAGCCTAGAGTGCCATGGTGTCAGCCTGGCTCACAGCAACCTCAAATTCCTATGCTCAAGAGCAAGGCCTTCCAAACATGCCCAGCTAATTTTTCTATTTTCAATAGAGACAAGGTCTTGCTTTTGCCCCAGTTAATTGAGAACTCCTGAGCTCAAGCACCCAGTTTGGCCTCCCAGAGTGCTAGGATTACAGGTATGAGCCATTGCACCCAGCCTGTTTTCAATATTTTGAGTATATTAATGAGAACCATTTCCTTTTTGGAGCTATAGTATAACTTAGGGTCTAAAAAAATTATTTTTCATGAAAAACAAGGAAAGACTAAGGAACTTTTACCAAACCAAGGAGATGATGTCACCCTAGTGGATATGCTGGATAGGATCTGGGTGTAGAAAAAGAGCAGTGATGGATTGAAATCTAAATGAAAGCCTGAGTTGACTTTATAGCGATGTGCTGATGTCGGCTCTGGTCTTGATAAGTACATGGGACATTCCGCACTGTCTCTGCAACTTTTCTGTGCTTTTGGAATTACAGTGAGGGCCGTGGTGTGGGATCTGCTACCCACTCCCAGAGATGCTTGGGGTGAGGGGTTCATGTCACCTTGAGGTCATTATGGTCTCTGTCAGTTACAGCTCTGAGAAACTGTGAAGTTAGACCAGTCCAAAGGTAAGAAGTTCTCCAGAGCAGCAGTGTCATTTAGAGTGTATTAGCCTGGTTCTGGGTCAGAGGGGACAGGGGTCATATTCTGCTTCTCACCAGGTCTCTGAGCTGGAGCCAGGAACTGCTCTGAGCTCCTCTTCTTTCCCCTTGTGAAGTGGAGCCATCCACACAGGACGTGTCAGGGTTGTTGTGAAGACTAAAGGTCCCGTGCCCACCAAGCTAGCTCTCTTATTGGTTCACCTGGAATGTTTTAGTGCCTCGCACCTGCCAGGGCCCACACTAAGCATTTCTGGTAAATTATCCCCTTTAATCTTTCTGACACTTGCATGACATGACCATTTCATGGATAGGGAAATGAAAGGTCAGAGGCTCAGTGTTCTCACTGCCCAAGGTCCATGGTCTTCCTAAATCTTTTCTCAAGGCCAGGCCTTTCCCTAGCGCCCAGTAGAGCTGGTTACCAGGCTGCACCCCACATCCAGATGCTGTCCTCACAATTCTGTTGCCTGTTGTGGTTGGCTTCTCAGGACCCCACCTCGTCCAGCCGTAAAATCAGGGTGTTGGACTGTCCTCCAGGTCTGTTCTAGGACTGAAGGTTCGTTCTGCATTCTGTGAATTTAATTACTTCTTTCAGCTGTTTTATTGGAATCATTCCTAGATCACTGAAGCCAACATTTTTCTAATTTGTTTTGGGTGAAGTTATTTATTTATTTTTGGCATTATCCCAGATTCCAAAAAGGTAAACCAGAGAATCCTAAGCCTCAGATGCCTCTTAAGACCATAAAAATTAAACCCAGCAAAAGCCATTGTGATGTTTACTGATATGTACCTGTTCTTTAATTGGGATTTTGTTCGGAGATTACTGGGAATCATGGGAATAATTTTATTTTCCCTTTTCCTTCTATGATTAGAAAGGAGAAGTCATGTATCACCACATAGTTGCCAGTTATTTCAAATTAATGTCTGTTGAAGAAAAAAAGATAGTTACCAGTGTGGAGTAATCCCTAGAGAAGTGAATTTAGCCATAAGAAGTCATTTAGGTAACAAGCTCAATTTCCACAAGTGCTGTAAGCACACACATTTGTCTCAAAGTGAGTAAGAATGAGCGGAGCTCTCGGCGCCGTGGGTGGCTGTAGTGTATGTGTTGGCAGGGGCGGGGAGAGGTCCGTTAATCCCATGGCTCCTCTCTCCTCTGCAGTTTTTCCCCTACATCCTGTTGCTGTTCGCAATCCTCCTGTACCTGCCCACTCTGTTCTGGCGTTTCGCAGCTGCTCCCCATCTCTGCTCTGACTTGAAGTTCATCATGGAAGAGCTTGACAAAGTTTACAACCGTGCAATTAAGGCTGCAAGGAGTGCACAGGACCTCGACCTGCGAGATGGAGCCTGCCCAGTCCCAGGTGTCACTGAGAACGTAGGGCAAAGGTAACTTAGCCCCAGCAGGCAGCTCGTCAGCTTTGCAGTACCAGTTGTCTGCCCTTCTCCTGCCAGCCTAGACCTAGAGTTGGGCTGGGAGCAGGAAGGGTGTCATCTACCTAGTGACGGCTCATGGGAGCCAGGGATACTCGCTTTCCCTAGATGTCACCCTTACCCTTCGGTCTCAGCACCTGTCTTCTGTCCCAACTCCCTCCTTTGTTGAGTGAAAATCATTCTCTCATCTCCTGAAATGTCCTCATGGGGGAGCTGCCCAAGGTACTATGTGAAGCTTGCTTGCTTTGATCGATTTACTCCTTAATGAAGAAGCAGAGAGGATTTCCCAGCAACTGAACTTAGAGAAAGGATGTGAAAGAAATGGGAAATAAGTGAGTAGTGCCTTGCCTGGAACATTCTCCTTCTAGTCCTTGTTACCAATAATAGGAAAAGTAATATGAATAGCTGTTAGTTTTTGAATGCACTGATAGATCCCAGACACTGTGTTGAGTGCTTTACGTACATTACCTCATTTAACCCTCAGAACAACATTATTAACTAAAGGCATTTATTTACCTCCCCTTCCTCTTTTTTCCCAGATGAATTGCTACCCTACAGCTGCAGATGGGAGAAGGGGACCTGAGCTGTGTCTATCAGGCCCTCACCTGCTGAGCTGTCCCCACCTCCTGCCTGTAGGAAGCATAGACAGAGCTGGGCTGAAAACTTCTTTACCTTATTCTGCATATTTAGTGGAAAATCACAGTTTAACCAAAAAGAAAGGCAGTTCCTATTCAGGAACTAATCCATTTAACAAACATTTAGCACTTACTAAGAATTCCCAAATATTAACTCATTAATTAAGCCATCTTTAAAATGTGAAGGAAGAAAGTATTTTGTTATTCCTTTCTTCCTTTTCTTTTTTTTTTTTTTCCTAACCTGATTTTATTCTCTAATAGTGTAATGAAGTAATAGGTAGTCAGGTGCGGGTGTTTTGAGATTTTTAGTGTGACATTGGTAGGTGTGTTTATGCTTTTCATAATAGATGGTCTTGGCGAATGTCTTAAGTTATTTTTGTTTCCTTTTCTTTTTAGTTTGTGGGAGATATCTGAAAGCCATTTCAAGTACCCAATTGTGGAGCAGTACTTGAAGACAAAGAAAAACTCTAATTATTTAATCATCAAGTACATCAGCTGCCGGCTGGTAACCCTCACCATTATACTGTTAGCCTGTGTCTACCTGGGCTATTACTTCAGCCTCTCCTCACTTTCAGACGAGTTTGTGTGTAGCATCAAGTCAGGGATCCTGAGAAATGACAGCACCGTCCCTGACCAGTTTCAGTGCAAACTCATTGCAGTTGGCATCTTCCAGTTGCTCAGCTTCATCAACTTTATAGTGTATGTCCTGCTGACCCCTGTGGTCATCTACACGCTGTTTGTTCCATTCAGACAGAAGACAGATGTCCTCACGGTATACGAAATCCTGCCTACCTTTGATGTTCTACATTTCAAGTCTGAAGGGTACAACGACTTGAGCCTCTACAATCTTTTCTTAGAGGAGAATATTAGTGAGCTCAAGTCATACAAGTGTCTTAAGGTACTGGAGAATATTAAAAGCAGTGGTCAGGGGATCGACCCACTGCTACTCCTGACCAACCTGGGCATGATCAAGATGGACGTTGTTGATGGCAAAACCCCCAAGTCTGCAGAGACGGTGGGAGAGGAGCAGGGGAACCGGATGGCAGAGCTCAAAGGTAGGGTTAGTGTTACCGGGCGGAGGCTGCCAGAGCCCACACAGTGATTTTATAGCAGCCTTTTAGCAGTACTGACAGCTTTCCCCTGCCCATCAAGTGTGATCTCAGGTGGAACCCCTCAGTATGGGGAAAGATGGGGAAACCCCAAATTTCCAAAGAAGAAAAACATTTTGCTTCCACGGGAGGTTCTGTCTTCCTTGGCTCACCCTCTGTGTCATACCCTGCCTCTGAAGCCAGCGCTCCTCCCTGGTGTCTTTCTTGTTTGTTTTTGTCTTGTCTTACTGGCTTCTCTCTGTGCACCCCTGACCTTCATGCCTATTGTTCTCTGATTTTCTCTTTCAAAATGGACTGGAAGTTTGTTGATTTATTTTATTTTTTATTATTTGGGATTCATTGAGGTTACAAAGAGTTAGGTTACACTGATTGCATTTGTTAGATAAAGTCCCTCGTATAATTGTGTCCTGCTCACAAGGGGTGTGCCATACACTGTGGCTCCCCAACCCCGTGCCTCCTCCCCGCTCCTTACTTGCTCATTCTGCCACCCTCCCCACTTGTATTAGCTCATCACTGCCTTCATATTGGAACTGAGTACATTTGATTCTTCTACATTCGTGTGGTGCTTGACTAAGAAAATGTGTTCTGCTTCCATGCAGGGTAATACAAAAGATGTAGGTCTCCATCTTTCTTAATGGCTGAATAGTACTCCATGGTATACACATACCACAACTTGTTAACCCATTCCTGGGTTAGGGGACATGTAGGCTGTTCCCACATTTTGGCGACTGTAAATTGAGCTGTGATAAACAGTCTAGTGCAAATGTCCTTATGATAAAAGGATTTTTTTTCTTCTGGATAGATGCCTAGTAATGGAATTGCAGGATCAAAAGGGAGGTCTAATTTGAGTTCTCTGAGGGTTCTCCATACTTCATTCCCAAAAGGCTGAATTAGTTTGCAGTCCCACCAGCAGTGTAAAAGTGTTCCCTTTGCTCCACATCCATGCCAGCTATCTGCAGCTTTGAGACTTGGTGATGTGGGCCATTCTCACTTGGGTTAGGTGATATCTCAGGGTAGTTTTGATTTGCATTCCTGAGATGATTAGGGAGGATAAGCATTTTTTCATGTTTTTAGCTATTTGTCTGTCTTCTTAAGAGAAGGTTCTATTTATCTCCCTTGCTCAGTGATAAATGGGATTGTGGGGTCTTTTTGTTGTTGATTAATTTGATTTCTTTATAGATCCTAGTTATCAAGCTTCTGTCCGATTCATGATATGCAAATATCTTTTCCTATTCTGAAGGTTGTCTGTTTGCTTTGGTTGTTGTTTCCTTAGCTGTAGAAGCTTTTCAGTTTAATTAAGTCCCATTTGTGTATTTTTGTTGTTGCAAATGCCATAGACGTCTCCTTCATGAAATCTTTCCCCAGGCTGATATCAAATGTTTTCCCCACAGTTTCTTTGAGGATTTATCCATCTTAAATTAATTTTTTTAAGTAGTGAGAGGTGTGGGTCCAGTTTCAGTCTTTACATGTGGTTATCCAGTTCTCCCAACACCATTTGTCAAATAGGGATTCTTTTCCCCAGTGCATGCTTTCATTTGGTTTATCAGAGATCAGATGGCTGTAACAGGTTAGTCTCACCTCATGGTTTTCTATTTGGTTCCAGATGTCTATGTCTCTTTCTGTGCCAATACCATGCTGTTTTGGTCACTACGGCTGTGTAGTATTAGCCGAGAGTCTGGTAGGCTGATACCCCTGGCTTTGTTTTTATTACTAAGAATTGCCTTGGCTCTACCGTGTTTCTGTTGGTTCTATAGAAAACGAAGAATTTTTTTTTCCAAATCCTGAAAGTATGATGTTGGTATTTTAATAGGGATTACATTGAATCTATAGGTTGCTTTGGGTAGTATAGACATTTTCACAATGTTGATTCTTCCCAACCATGAGCATGGTATGTTCTTCCATTTGTTAATATCTTCTGGTAATTGGTTTTGTAATTTTCTTTGTTGAGGTCCTTTACCTCTTCTGTTCTGTATATTCTTAGGTATTTCATTTTTTTTTTGAAGCTACTGTGAAGGGAATTGTGTCCTTAATTAGCTTCTCATATTGGTTGTTACTGGCATATACAAAAGCTACTGATTTATGGACATTGATTTTACACCCTGAGACATTGCTGTACTTTTTGATCAGTTCCAGGATTTTTGACTCTTTGGGGTTCTCTAAGTATAAGATTATATCATTGGCAAAAAGCAAGAGTTTGATCTCCTCTGCACGAATTTTGGATGCCCTTTATTTCCTTCTCTTGCCTGATTGTATTGGCTAGAACTTCCAGCACTATGCTGAATAGTAGTGATGATAGAGGACAACCTTGTCTGGTTCCAGTTCTAAGTGGAAAAGCTTTCCGTTTTACTCCATTCAGTATAATATTAGCTGTGGGTTTGTCATAGATGGCTTCGATCAGATTAAGAAATGTGAATGTATATATGATCTATGTGTTTATGATTTAATAAAAATAAATATATAAAAAGTTAATTCTAGTTAATAGCAAATGAAAGGATACAGCTTGGAAAAAAAAAAAGAAATGTGCCACCTATGCCTCTATTCTTAAGTGTTCTAATTAGAAAAGGATGCTGAATTTTATCAAATGCTTTTTCTACATTGCTTGAGAGGATCATATAGTCTTTATTTTTGCTTCTGTTGATATGGTGAATTATGCTTATGGATTTGGGTATGTTAAACCAGCCTTGCATCCCTGGGATGAAACCTACTTGATCATAATGAATGATTTTTTTAATGTGTAGCCATAATCTATTGGCTAGGATTTTATTGAGAATTTTTGCATCCATATTCATTAGTGAAATTGGTCTAAAGTTCTCCTTTTTAGTTGGGTCTTTTCCTGGTTTTGGTAGCAGAATAATGTTTGTATCATAGAACATGTTGGGGGAAGATTCCTTCCTTCTCAATTTTTTGGAATAATTTCTGCAGTATGGGAATAAGCTCTTCCTTGAAGGTTTGATGGAATTCTGGTGTGAAGCCATGTGGACCAGGGCTTTTTTTTTTGTTGGGAGATTTTTTATTGTTTCTTTGATCTCAGTTCTTGAAATTGGTCTGTTCAGGAGACCTATTTCTTCTTGCATAAGTCCAGGGAGAGGGTGTGAATCTAGGTATTGATCCATTTCCTCCACATTGTCAAATTTCTGGGCACAGCATTTCTTGTAGTATTCAGAGATGATCTCTGTATCTCTGTGGCATCTGTTGTTATTTCCCCTTTATCGTTTCTGATTGAGGTTATTTGAGATTTTACTTTTCTGTTTCTAGTTAATCTGGCCAAAGGTTTATCGATTTTATTTATTTTTTTGAAAAACCAACTTTTTGTTTTGTTAATTTTCTGGATGATTATTTTGTTTTCAGTTTCATTAATCTCTGATTCAATTTTGGTTATTTCTTTTCTTCTGCTGGGTTTGGGATTAGATTGTCCTTCTTTTTCCGATCCCATAAGATGGTTCGTGAATTTGTTGATGCATGCTCTTTCTGTTTTTTGAACGTAGGCATCCAATGTGATAAATTTCCCCCTTAAGACTGCTTTTGCTGTATCCCACAGGTTTTGGTAACTTGTGTCTTCATTGTTTTTATACTTGAGGAATTTTATGATTTCTTCTTTTATTTCTTCCTGAACCCAACTATCATTCAGCATAAGGTTGTTTAATTTCTAAGTCTTTGTGTGAGGATGAACATTAGGCTAAAAAGCAAAATGTGGTAATGCAAAGAATATGAGAGAGATTTTTAGCAGAAGTTGCTTAGCATTGATAATTTTTGCCACCCTTCTGTCTTAAATATTTATTTTCAATTTTGGCAGGTCTGGACCTACAGAGTGAAACTAGAGCAAATAATGGAGAGAAGAATGTACGACAGAGACTTCTGGATTCTTCTTGCTGATGATTTTTTCTCTCAAACTTCAAATCTGTGACTTCTGTAACATGGGATTTATTTTAGTTAAAGTAGCCCTGTTGGGTTCACAGCTGATTTGCAGTAAATGGTTTTCAGTAGGCGTCTTGTTGAGTCCCTAAGGAAAATGTTATGGAAGAATGGTGTATGAACTTCCCAGAAGAAGTGACTCGGAGATAGGTAACCCACAGCAAGCATACCTGTGTGAGTCCTCATCACATGAAAAGTGGTAGGACACGGATGAGTAGCCAAGAGAGGCAGCCCCTTGAGAGCCTCAAGAAACATCTTTCTGGACCCATGGTGCTATGAGACCCAGAGCTGCTAGAGAGCGAGCACTCTGGGAGATTGATTTTATAAAGTAATAATAAACAAGTCAGGATGTAATTTAACATGAATCTCTTATGTGTTCCAATGACTATAGGATGAGAAAAGCATTTACTGGCTCACAGGTCGACCATTTCTTAGCAGTGTTAAACTGGGTGTGAGTCTGGTGCCTTGGCTCTTGCACACTCAGGCTCTCTTTACACTGACCTATCTGTTTGGCTGATGAACTTGCACACACTATACACATAACCACTGTTTGCTGTACTCTGCCCTGAAGGGCAGAAGTCCCTTGCATTGCTCTGACTGAAAATGTAGTTAAGGAGATGGAATCGAAAGGATGTTCAGGCTGGATGTGGTGGCCCACCCCTGTATCCTAGCACTTTGGGAAGCTAAGGCGATCAGATTTTGGAGCTCAAGAGTTTGAGACCCGCCTCAGCAAGCGTAAGACCTTGTTCTCTACTAAAAATAGAAAAACTAGCTAGACCCAGTGATGGGAGCCTGTAGTCCCAGTTACTGGGGAGACTGAGGCGGGAGGGTCACTTGAGCCCAAGAGATTGAGGTTGCTGTGAGCTGTGTGATAAATGAAAGCCACATTTTTTCTGAAAGCTAATGATAAATGATGTCACATCACTCTAGGGTGACAGAGTGAGACTGTCTCAAAAAAAACCAAACAAGGGATGCTCACAGTGGCTTCAATTCAGGAAAGAATGCTTCAAAAAGAGCCCCATCAAGAAATCTGAATTTGCAGAAGTTAATCTAGTCACTTTCAAAATGTTTTCTACAGGATATTCTTCTGTTATCAAAGGCATTTGGAGCAAAATTTTACTTAATCAGATTAACAGAACCTAGAATATATAAAGTAAGGGACATTTGCACATACGTGATATTGTTGTGCTTTTTATGGTATGCTTGGAGTCGGAACAACCGAGAAATTTATGTTGTTCATATTTAAGCACGACTTTAAAAATTCATTTTAATTTATTCAGTGTTAGAATTGAGGCCATTTGGTAAGAACATTCTAGCATTGGTGGAGAATTATAGAATAAAGGTTACAAATGGCTCGATGAGACAAATGCAGACGTCATTCATAAACATTTAAGGCTGACAGAATATGTAGAACACCATTCCTAATTCTGACCATGTAAATAGATCGATGTTCATGTTTTATACAAAAAAGAAATCTTTAACATCTATGGACTCTCACATTTTATTCTTAGACAGTTTATAACACATAGCTTAAGTGAATAATCCTCAGGAACCACAAAGTTTACTTTTGACTCTTAGGGCAGCTATTGTAATCAAATTACTGTGTTGGGAAGGGCAGAAGTTACCTAAGTTGCTGTCTGCCTTTCAGAATTTTGAGAAAAGCAAAATTTATTTGTTCTTCTGTGAGAGTTTCTGAAAGCTAGTGATAAATATCAAGGTTGTAATCAGTGCTTTAAATTATTCTCTATTACATGATATTTATTACTGTTGAATTATAATGTGGCTTAGAAATTACAGTAACCTAAATAATTGATTTTGCTACATTTTTATATCATCGTATCTGAGATGTTTCATCTCAGTTCTGCACACTGACTTCTTTTTAAAAGTTGAAAAGATTTATGAAATATATTTTTCTAGAATATGTTTTTTTTGTTTCTTTGTTCTCAAAGGGCTTCATCTTCCCTGTAGACTACCCCTGGTTCATATTTTGAAGTGGTAGAAATGGGTGTTTTATTCTAGGAGACCAAGATCCCTCCAAGCCCCACCACACATAATTCTTTTATCAAGGGTTTGTATAATTTGGCTCCCTAATGTCCAGGAGGGTCTGTGATGTCCCAGGCACCTATAATAGGCTGGGTGCATCAATAAGAATAGGCAGGTGCCATCTTTGAGGACTTCAGAGTCAAGGAGAAGGCACAGCCACAGAAAAGGCTCTGCTCGGGAACGCTTATCAAATGCTGTATGCTCTTGGGAGACATGGTATTTTTTTTTTTCTCTCCCTCTTGTAGTTTCTGTAACAGATGGTTTTGAGTCTAGTTATAATTTTTCCTAGAGGCAGATGACCCTGTTAAGGTTCTTTAGCCACATGAAGTCTGGGCAGACCAATCATAGTGATTTTGAACAGTAAGGGCTCCGGTTGCCTTTGGAATCATACTTGCAGAGAATAGGGATGGGGAGAACACTCCTGGTGGGTACTCAGAGTTGCTGATTAGTAACAGGACTAAGATGGATGTCTAGAGATACATTTCTATTTGGAAAAAATTACTGTTAGGAAAGTTAACTCTTCTATCCACTGTGAGTTGTTGGCTTGGAGGACGACTTTTGAGGAGCCAGTTTCCTGGGGGTGGGAGGAATGAATGCTTTTGTAAAATTCTCATTGCTTTATAAAATGGAACAGGTAGATCTTAAATGACCCCTCCTCAGTTACTGTGTTTCCTGCTCACATCTCCCTAGTAAACCACTGTAAGGCTGCTGAACCAGGCTTATAGCAACAGTGCTGCAGCTAGAAAGGACAGACCGTTCTGTTCTGAAAGAAGTGTTTCCCCAAACCTTAAATTTTACACAGGGACAGAGAGAGACCTCCGGTGTAGAGGTTCCTAAACTTTGAGGGGTTACAAGCCTCCTTACAAATATTTTTAGAGCTGTGGATGCTCTCCTCACACACACACACACACACACACATTTAATGTGTCTGCAGAGGTGATGATAGTCTTTATCGGGCTGAGGAAGCCGCAGGGCAGAGAACCTGGCTCCCTTTGCTGTTGAGAAACTCCTTCCAGCTGTAAGACTGAGCTGTATGTTTGCTTAGTTAAGTCATGTTTGCATACCGTGGAGGGAACTGTTCCTTTTGAGTAACTGCCTTTATTTTCTAGAGTGAGATTGAACAGGGTCAGTCAGAGACAGAGTAGAGCGGCAGGCCTAGAATGACCAGGCAGCCTCGGTGGACCGCTGTTTTCTCCCTGGCCACGAGGCGTGATCTTACAGGTTCAAGTTAATTGTGCCTGCTCAGCATGTCTGGAATATGGGGAGGATGGGCATAACACTTATAAAATGCCTTGTCCTGCTTTACAGTTGTGCTGTGCACAGGTCTCGTTTGTATGAATAGGCTTTGTTGGGAGAAGCTGCCTGTGTCCTGCATACTGCCTGGCCACACGGCAGGCAGTCAGGTCAGCTGTGAGAGGCGGATGGTTAGACTCTTTTAAATGTGTTCATGTTTGGTTTATTTCACTTGTGGTCAGTCCAGGGTCCATGAGAGATCTGTGAAGCTGGGAGTCTTTATCTGCTACTATAGCACAAGCTCCTAAATTAACAGTGCCTGGTGTAGACTAGGCATTCTGTAAATATTTGTTGAATGAATCAACAAATAAACTGTTAGGATAAATCCTTGTTTGTTGTCAAGTGTGATTTGATTTTAAAAGGCAAATGGTCCCCTGGGACAGAAGAGGATAGGAGGTCCATTTAGACACTTGGTAGAGAGAGGAATAGTTCTGCAAATAAATAGTTTTCCACATTAGGGATTGTCCTGTGGAGCAAGTCATGACCATTTCCCAAGTTCAATACAAGGTCAACTTTGACTTGTAGTCATTAAGGAAATTGAAGTTTTAAAGGTCCCAGTCTCAGTAATTTCCCAGAATAAACCTCTTGGAAGGGATGTTGATTGAAATGTGCAATTATCAGTAACTGAGGGAAATGAGATGAAATGGCTCCTTCTGAGCAATCATTGGCATTTTGGCACTGTTTTTCACGAGTAAAGTAAAACCTTTAAAAAGATTGACAAGAATGATACTGTGTCGTATGTGGGATATAATAGATGTTAATTTGTGATTGGTTGTCTTGCCTACTTCAAATGAAATGTATCATGTCTGTGTGTTCTTTTAGCTGTAAAAATACTTTGTCACTAAAGCATGCAGTTTAATTAGTGATTGTTCTTTAAGTTTCTGAAAGCTATGGAAGTTTCTCATGCCTGGACTGTTTTCTTTTACCCTGCCCCCCAGAGGGGAGAAAAAGTCCTTGCAGAATTCTACAGTGTTACAAAAACTGAAGCCATCAGCTGCTCTTTAAGAAGTTGGCTTTTTAAAAGCACGATAATTACAACTTAATGGTATTCTGTAAAGTGGTGCTTTAGGCATGATTTAAATTCTTTTTCATGACCAACTTTCTCTAAAACTTTTAAAGGAAAACATACATTCTTTTGCTGTGTCTCTTATAAGAATGCTGCCAACAGATGAAAAATGACTTTACAAAATCAGACCATCTTGGTTTTGTTTCCACAAAGATCCAAGATGAGAACAAATCAGTGTTAGAAATAATCCTTAAAAAAATACAAGAATCTTGAAAGCTCTGCATTTTGGTGGTCATCACTACTGTAGTTCATGTTTCTATGAACAAAGTCACTTAGCCATGGTCTGTCTCCTGGCCATGCTTACTTTCATTTAAAAGAGCGGGCTAGGGTGGCACCTGTGGCTCAAAGGAGTAAGGCGCCAGCCCCATATGCAGGAGGTGGCGGGTTCAAACCCAGTCCCGCCCCCCCCATAAAAAAACTGCAAAAAAAAAAAAAAAAAAAACCCTAAAAGAGCAAGCTAAAGGCTGAAGATCAAGGCTGCTATGTCTATAGATAAAGACAAGATGATGTTTTGGTTCTGCACTGTTTGTATCCACCTAAATAAAACTTCTTTGAGTAATGAAAAATGTCTTGGTACTTCTTGCCCTCCCTTTAAGGAGAGTCATTTTATGTAAGACATAATAGGAGATGAGTCCCAGAACGTCCTGAGGCTCATTTCTCTC